GGTCAGATGCTTCCCCACACCCTCCAGGCCCACCTGCCCTGGCTGTACCTTTGACCTCACCTCAGCTTCTCTCTCTCCAGCCCTCCTGGGCTCCTTCCTCTCCTGGGAACACAGTCACCTTCCTGCCCTACTGCATTTGCACTGGAGGTTCCCCTGCCTGGAAAGAACTTCCCCAGATATCCTCATGGACACTCCTCATGTCCCTCAATTCTTTCCTCAAAGGTCACCTTTGCAACGTGGTGCATACTGACCACCCCAACACAACAGCCACCTATGCTGTCCCCACTGCCCACACCCTGGATCACCTACCTCACAGCATTTCCCACCTACTAGCACTTTCCTTCCTTGCTCTGGTTATAGTGTATCTATCATCTGCCTCTTCCCACTGGAACACATGCTCCACAAGGTAAGAGATTTTTCTGATTTTACTTCAATGCTGTTCCCAATATGCAGAACCACTCTGTCCTGTGTCCGGCCGACAATGAAGGTCACTGTAGAGCATCTCCTATTCTAAAGGCAGTATCTTTATTAACATAGACTCAGGCCAAGTGCCGTTTCTTGGCAGCTATGGCACAAGGACCCCTCATGCTGACATTGAGGCTGCTTGTGCTTTTCTCAGCAGGGCTGCTAGTGTGTCCTCCCTTCCCCATCCCTCCTCCCACACCTACTCCCAACCCACGCACACCCCTGCACACTGCCACATACAATCAGGCTTCGCTTTTCAAGAAAGAATAGTCCTTGATGATGAGTCCAATTCACAAACAAATATAAGTCTAAATTAGACTCTGCTTTATAGATTCATGAGTTGGGATTGGAGCCAGCACCAAGATCACTAGAACCAGGGCAGGGAGAGAGGGCAGGAGAGCAGAGCAGAAGAGGAGCCCTAGAAGAAGGGCAGGAGCCGAATGGGTTTGAAAATTTATCTCAGACTCCCATGTGCAGGGGCCATGTTGGGCGATATGTGAGCCTCTGTGGTCACAGCTCCTGTGGGACAAGTTTCCACTGAAGGAACAAGGACAATGGAGCAGTGAAGCTGACCCAGCTGAGGACTGACCACATAAAGCCCATGATAGACTCAACAGCAACTGGGCACAGGCCCCGTCCACACTCAGCTCCTCACAGCCTTCTCCATCCGCACCTGCAACAGACTTAGCACAGCGAACATGCAGATTCTGGAAGGTTCTCAGGTATTTATTTCCTCTCTCAAATTTTAGGAATTGACTTATTTAATTAGCCCATCAACTTCTCATGGAAAATATTTGAGAAAACACATTTATATTCAGATTCTTATTTTCCATAGGGAAGTAAGTGGTTGCAGCTCAGTGTACCATGAAGTTGAGACATACATGGAGACACCCAGCCCCACCTCTCTGGAACAGGAAAGATGACTGGGGAGGGAATACAGGTCAGTGTGGGGACAGGGGTCACAGTGGACACAGGGTGGGCTGTCTCTCCACCTCCTCACATTATGCAAACAGGGATGCAGACACATTCAGATGCCTTTGCAGAAAGAGATGCCAGAGGCTCTTGAAGTCACACAGGGGAGGCGTGAAGAAATCCTGCATCTCAGACCCACAAAAGGCAGCTGTCTCAGGCTACAGAAAACAAGTCATGAATAATTTTCAGGTCAGTCATGGTAAGTGATGACACTCTGAACAGCCCACTACACACTCAAAATGTCCCAATCAAAGAATCACCATTACCCAGTCCTTTCCCCTCTGCCTTACCCCGTACCCACTTCAGACCCCCAGAATCTCACCTTTACAAGCTGTCAGAGACACATCAGAGCCCTGGGCACTGTCGCTGCCTGGGGTAGAACAAAAGCAGGACCTGGTCAGAGCCCACAGGAGATGTGGGACAGGAGGAATTATGGGGTGGGTGAGGTTTTCCACACTCCCACCCCCACCACTTACACGCAGCCTGAGAGTAGCTCCCTCCTTTTCCACCTGTGGGAAGAAAATGTCCTGTGAGGGGACAGGGAGGAGGCAGAACCATGAGATCTTAGAGAAACCTCCTAGTCTTGGACCCAAGAGAAGTTTCCAGAACTATGACTACAGACCAGGGCAGGATCAGAAAACACCAGGAAAGCAGGTGTGGGTCCTGGACCAACCGCCCTCCTAAGGCCTGTCCTTAGCAGGAATCTTCCCCTGACTCATGGATGCTGGGATCAGTTCCCCAACACCACAATCATCAAGGTGATACATCTGTCCTTCATTGTCACATGTGCTTCACAGAAGAGTAAGTGCTGGCACACAGGGCCCCAGGCTGGGCCGGCCCACATGTGGATGGTGCTTCCCAGTAATGAGGCAGGGAAGACTTCTACCTGGGGCTTGAAACCCCTAGTTGGACACGAAAATGCAGACCCCTCCTCACCCCTTCCCTACCTGAGCTCTTCCTCCTCCACATCACAGCAATGACCACAGATCCAGTGACCACAGCACCAAGGAGAACGAGGCCAGCAATGATGCCCACGATGGGGATGGTGGGCTGGGAAGATGGCTCTGGGAAAAGAAGGGAAGGTGAGGGACCCTGACTCAAAACCTCAGCCCTGACCCTGCTGAAGGGCTCCAGAGGGGCTTCTGCTTTCCTTGAGAAGAAACATGACTCCCATTCCCTCCTTACCCATCCCCCTCCTTACCCCATCTCAGGGTGAGGGGCTCCAGCAGCCCCTCGTGCTGCACATGGCACGTGTATCGCTGCTCCTCTCCAGAAGGCACCACCACAGCTGCCCACTTCTGGAAGGTTCCATCCCCTGCTGGCCTCGTCTCCACAAGGTCGGTGTCCTGAGTTTGGTCCTCCCCATCCCGCTGCCAGGTCAGTGTGATCTCTGCAGGGTAGAAGCCCAGGGCCCAGCACCTCAGGGTGGCCTCTTGGTCAGAGATGGTGTGGTGGTTCACATGTGTCTTTGGGGGTTCTGATGGGAAGAGTCAGAAGATTTGGGCAATTTGTATCTCTTATGGGACACTCCAGCAGCACCCATATGACCATCTGAGAATGGACAGGACACCTGGGGTGGGGAAGGGAGCACAGAACCCAGACACCAGCCTGGACACAGGCACCTGGGATAATCTCCTATTCTGTGGAATGTTCTAGTCTCTGAGGAGGAACTGCGACTTCTGGTCCTGACCTGAAAAGAGGTCAGGAGACTCACAAAAGCTGGAATCAGACCTTCAAACACACTGACTGTGAGGCAGAGAACAGGGGCTGAAAAGGTCACGGCGCCCAAGGCTGCTGCAGGGGTCAAAGGGGATTCCTGATCAGTATTCCAGGAACTATCTTCCCCTCAATTTCCTCAGAGGTCATCCCTTAATTGTCTTAGAGAGCAGGCGGCCCTCAGAGGAAACTCAGGAAAACTCATCCCATTCTTTATTCAAGGGAGGTGTATATTCTAGCGCGGATCCCATTTCCTCCCCTACTCGTGGGAGGCCAGCCCGGGAGATCTACAGGAGATGGGGGGAGCTCCCCACTGCCCCTGGTACCCGCGCGCTGCAGCGTCTCCTTCCCGTTCTCCACGTATCTGCGGAGCATCTCCACGCACGTGCCCTCCAGGTAGGCTCTCCATTGTTCCGCCACATTGGCCGCCTCCCACTTGCGTTGGGTTATCTGAGCCGCCGTGTCCGCGGCGGTTGAGGAGCGCAGGTCCTCGTTCAGGGCGAGGTAATCCTTGCCGTCGTAGGCCGACTGGTAATATCCGCGGAGGAAGCGCCCGTCTGGCCCCACTTCGCAGCCGTACATTCTCTGGTAGGTGTGAGACCCTGGCCCCGCCTCCGCGGTCAGCCTCGCCCCCCGAGCCCCCCCGCCAACAACCAACCCGCGGGGATTTTGACCTAAACTGAAAATGCAGGGGCTCTCTCCCGTGGAGGGTCTGGGCGGGTCCCGCAGCCTCGGAGTGGACCTTGGACCTGAAGACTCGGGGAGACCCAGGCCGTCCGTGGGCGATAGGAAGGGGTCGTGACCTGCACCCCGGGCCGGGGTCACTCACTGGCCTCGCTCTGGTTGTAGTAGCCGGGCAGGATCCTCAGGCAAAATCGGGAACTCTGTGCGTCAGCCTTGAAGTCCGTAGTCACCTCCTCCCAATACTCCGGCCCCTCCTGCTGCATCCACGGCGCCCGCGGCTCCCCTCTCCCACTCGCGGCGTCGCTGTCGAACCGCACGAACTGCATGTCGTCCACGTAGCCCACGACGATGAAGCGGGGCTCCCCGCGGCCGGGCCGGGACACGGCGGTGTCGAAATACTTCAAGGAGTGGGAGCCTGGGGACGACGAGGGGCTGAGGCCCGCCCGACCCTCCGCCAGGCGCGGCTCCCCGGGTCCTGCGTCCCCGCCGGGCGGGCCCCTCGCTCCTCCCCACAAAGGCCGTTTCCCCCGAGACCCGGCACTCACCCGCCCGAGTCCCGGTCAGGGCCAGAGCCCCCAAGAGCAGCAGGAGGAGGGTTCGGGGCGTCATGACCGCCATCCTCGGCGTCTGGGAAGAATCTGAGTCTGGGTGGGTGAGTGGGGACTTTAGAACCGGGACCGCGGCGACGCTGATTGGCTTCTCTAGAAACCCCACACCCAGTGGAAGTGGGAACTGGGTCCGCGTCTTGAGTATCCAGAAAGAAAGACCCGATACAGGTTGGGAGAAGTGAAACTCAGGTGAGTGGGGAATCCCCAAAGCTGCGCCTCCCCAATGCAGACACCGCTTTCGGTGCCTGAGACCCTGAGAACGACGCCTGGGACCTGAGACTTTGTCCTGAGCCCTCTTCTCCTACACCAAGCCTCTTTATCACACTGACTGCCCGAGTCCTGGCCAAGGATCTGTCTGTGGAAACCAGGGAGAGATACCCAGGCTGCGCCCAGCCCCTTCCCTTTCACTTCTCATCCTGGAATCGCCTGTCCCTGAACTGGACTCCCTGCCTCCCACTCCTTACTTCTCCCCTTGTGCTTTTGTAAACTCACCCCTGGGAATGGAGGTGTAGAGACAGGGGTTTTCTCTTTAAACCTGGTGAAGTTTTGTCTGAAGGCACCAGATAGAGATTCGCATAAAGACCAGTTTCCTTTTTGTTTATTAATACAGTAGGTAGCACAATATTGGTAATCCCTGAATGATTAGAATCCAATCTGTAAAAGACCTGTGTCAAAACAGCATTACAGTTAAACTCTCAAAGCTCCTAAGTTTTACTTTCCCAGACTATGGATCTGTGACTCTGAGTTGTTACATTTTAAAATTATCTTTCTTCCCTAGTCCAAGTTTCCCTATGTGAGTCCAGAACATCTCCTGAATACAAAGAAGCAGGTTTGTTACTGTGTATTGAACCGGGAGCCTGTAGTCATCACCTCAAAGTTGCAAGTGCTCCATGCAGTCCCAATGCTCTCCACTGAGGCTCCACCACTGACTGTTTTCATTATGCACATCTAAGCAGTGTGCATATTTTATTTGGACATTTAACATTTTTGTAATCATTTTTTTTTAATCTTAAGGAGGCCGTTAGTTCTTAGGCAGTCCCACAAAATGTAGTAATTATGGAATGGAAAGAATCTCCTCTTAGGCTCCTCCACTGCTTTAGAATTCTTTCCCCTGCTCCTTTTCCTCACCTCCCGCTTCCCCAGCCCTTCTCTCTGTCCCTCTCATCCGTCCTCTCCCCGTAGTTCCCACTGCCCAGTCACTCCAGAATTGCAGCACTGTAGAGAACAGTTTCTTTTCCCTAAAAACTTTCTCTATGCCCCCTTCTATTTAATCCTTGCCTCCCACCCCCAACCCTTCCCTCCACTCAACCACTGCTCTGCTTTCTGTCACTGCATTAGTGAAATTTCT